ACATTAACGTTAAACTTTAAAAGATCAGAATTCGCGTCCCATATTATCCCTAAAGTTTTCAATTCTTTTTTATCATGAAACAGAACATAGTTTTCATCGTCCGTTACGTTTTGTTTTTCGATATAATTTAAAATATGTTTACTGTTTGACAACCATTTTCTTAATTCCAACTTTGCATCGTTTAAAATTTCTGATACTTCGTGATAAATATCTAAAGCTTCCGATTCCGAATCAACACTGGTGAGGAGATCATCCATGTAAAAACAAGTTTTAATAACTTTTGAAGTCCTAGGATACTTATTTTCAAATAAATCCGCTAGTTCGTGCAATCAACGCGTGGCCTGCCATGGTGCACTCGAAGTGCCGTATGTGACAGTATTTAAATCGTAAATTTTTACGTCGGTACTTTCACGCCACAATATTTTCTGGTAGCTACGTTCGCTTGGATCTATCCAAATGCACCTATACATCATTTTTACGTCAGCATTAATAACACTTCCGTAATCTTAATCTTAACAATATAGAAAAAAGATCCGCTTGAATTGTTGGTCCTACTAAGATTAAATCATTAAATGAAATTCCGTTGCTGCTCTTCGAGCTAGCATCGAAAACTACTCGACATTTTGTAGTTACAGCACTATCTCTCAGCACGGCACTGTGAGGCATAAAATATGAATTTGTTTCCAAAAAAACGTCCGAATCAAAAAATCCACTAAAGGTCATGTGTCCTAAGGATTCGTATTCCCGCATAAATTGTAAATAGTGCGTTTTTAAATTGCTATCTCTGTTCAACCGTGTTTCTAAATTTTTTAGTCTTTTAACAGCACTACATTTTGAGTCTCCTAACTTCAAATCTGTGTCCTGTTTAAATGGGTATTTGACTACAAACCTATTATCATTACTGCGCGTCGTGGTTTCTTTAAAATACTGTTCGCAATATTTTTGATCATTGGATAAAAAATTATTAGGTTCGAACTCTTCAAGTAGCCAGAATTTTTGTAATGAATCGTGCAAAGCTTTGTTTGAAATCTTTGAAGTGTTGCATACGGTTTTTCGATATCGTTCGTGAATGTTTAAAAGACCGAATACCCATCCTAAAGATGTTTCTTGTAGAATTGGAAGATTAGTACCTAACTTTATTTTGCCTGATTGCAACAAGTCATAAAAAACTTCTGATCCGAGTAATAAGTCTATTTGTTTGGGAACGTTAAACTTTTCATCTGCGAGACAAATGTCTTTGGGAACGTTAATCAATGATTTTTTGAATTCTACGATAGGGAGTTGTTCTGTTATTATTGGCAATACTAAAAACGTTAAATTTCTTGTGAAATTTCCAAATCGCGATTTTATACATGCAAAAGTCTTACTGTTGATTTTTGTTTGAATCTGATTGATGCCTGAAAGGGGAACATTGAAATCTTCGCATTTCAATTTTAATTTATTTATCAAAGACTGGCTAATCAGATTAGATTGGCTTCCTGAGTCGAGTAAAGCATGACATATAGTCCAATTTCCATAAGAATCTTTTATTAAAATAGTTGCGGTAGACAATAATACCTGACTTTCTGAGAAAATACTAAACGTGCTTGAATTACTTTCAATTAATTGACATTTTTCGCTCCCGCCACCTATTTCCAATAATTGCTCATTATTCATTTCTGTGCTAGTTACACACATCGTAGCCGTAGGCCTGGTGGTAACATTACCTATCTGCTGCCTTTCTCCGCTACCTGCTTTTGCCGTCAGCTCTAGCGCTCCTGAAAACGACGCCGAAGAAGGCCCCGCGCGAGCCCTATCTTCCCCCAATGATGTAAAATTTACAGCTGAAGGCGAACGCTGGAATTGTCGTGCAGCACTATTGGTGGCTTGCTGTTCTTCCTGCAGCTGTTCTTGCGCGTTGCCAGATCCTTTTGAGTTGCTAGGTTTATTACGGCGTTGCCATGTTTAAGAATGTTGCTACACTTTTGTTCAATATAACAGTCTGATATAAGAAATTTAATTCGAATGTTCAAATAGATTTGAATGCCAAACAAAGATATTTGATTTCAGAGTGAATTTCGGGCCCCATTGAGCGCCCGGGCCCTAGGTGGCCGCCTAGTCCGCCTAATGGTTAAACCGGCACTGGCTGTAAAACCTAAACGGTTTATTTTGAAGCAAAATCGATCTTACATTTCAGGGGCCGGAGATTCTTATCCCAATTTTTCATAAACTATCATTTGACACAAACTTTTAATTTAATCCATGATTCAAAATTCCGGTTAAATTCAATCCCCGGTTTAATTCAAAGTTGGCGCCATGATAGCTTAATGAAAAACTAAAAATGAGAATGTAAAAGGTTTTGCTGTAAAATTAACCCTTAAGGTTTTACAGTCTGTCATTTTTCCAAGTTGCAGAAAGTCAATTTTCAACGAACAGGCCCCCATATTTCCGAAACAGTTGAAAGTCCATTTATAAAAATAAAGCGGACTGGCACCAAGGATGATACACATCTACAGGATTGCTTAACCGCCTCGTTTTTGGTGATCGCCGCCATATTGGTGTGTCACCATTTCCGACGTCATAACTTAGTCGTCAGCTGTTTGAACAGCGCGAGAAATACATGCTGCCTACGTCACAGCTGGTGATTTGGCGGGGAGGGGGGGATTTGTTCCACACAGGCCTTATGAGGATAGAGGATAGCCTATACAAAAAAACTATTGTAAAAAATGTTTGGCAAAAAAACAAAATCGATCGGTCCCAGCCTTTTTTCGAACAGGCCCCCATTAATTATTTATTAGGCATGGAGTTTATTCTGGCTGATAGCTGATACTCACTGTATAGTATTATTATAGAGCCTATACTATAATATTACTTCTCATCGAATTCGAATTCCTTTTCCAAAGGCAACATATTTTTTGTCGGCAAGCGATAACTGCCTACTTTTTTGTAAGACAATAATTGGTTTCGGTAGAGAGAAATTATTTATGAAATTATCTCATCATTTTGCTAAAAAATTGACTGTTATTAATAACATTTGCGTACTCACCAAGGGCGCGTTCCTCGGCGCGTTCGTATTGAATAGTCTGGGCGAAGTCTGTTGCAGTGCGTTAAGGTGCACCCTCAACGCCGGTGTGCCCGTCGATTCGACCAATCTGAAAGGTCAAGACTCGACACGTTTCTTCTCATAAACACTGTTAATTGGCAAGGTTCCTTAAGTTTATAGGTTGTCTGGTAAAGGAAAACGAATGACGTCATCAGGAAAATTTAATGGAGATTTGTATTGTGTTTAGGCATCCAGATGACGTCATAAAAGTTTTAAGGCAACCTATCTCTTTCATACAACCTTGGTTAATTGGGATGTCTAAAATTTTTGCCTATTCATTTTATAATTTTTTAGAAAAAAAAAATATGGATAACGCCATAGTGTATTTTTTCATATACAGGATTAATAAAAAGTACTGCAACTCTCAAATATCTTCAAAACCGCTTAAGCCATGTTCACACAATTCGGACTCTGACAGTTGTTGGCATGCATGCTATCGGCAATGTTTGCCAGATTTCCCAGTTTTGCGCTACACATAGTCTTTGTGTGATGTTAAATACAATGCCCCATTTATTTTTATTCCAATGAATTGGGCGTGCCAAATTTGATAAGATTCCAAATTTTCAGAATTCTATCTCTACTAGTTGCTGCAATATGCCAACACCGCATTTTCAGTCAAAAGTAATACAACGCTTAAATATCTTCAAAACCGCTTAAGCTGCGTTCACACAATTCGGAATCTGAAAGTTTTTGGGCATGCGAGATTGAACAGTGTTATCGGCAATGTTGCCAGATTTCCCAGTTTTGTGCTACGCGTAGTCTTGTTGTTATCTTGAATAGAATGCCACATTTATTTTTAGTGTAATGAATTGTTCGTGCCAAATTTGATAAAATTCATAAATTTTTAGAATACCATCTCTACTGGTTCCTGAAATATGCCTACACCGGACGTTCAGTAAAAAGTATCGCAACGCTTGAATACCTTAAAAACCCGCTTAAACTAAACAGGGCATTTCATTCAAGATTACGAAAAGACTACACGTAGCGCAAAACTGGGAAATCCGGCAACAATGCCGATATCACTGTTGAATTTTGCTTGCTCAAAAACCCCGAGATACCGAATTCGTGAACGCAGCTTAAGCGGTTTTGAAGATATTTAAGCGTTGCACTATTTTTTACTGAAAATGCGGTGTTGCCATATTTCAGCACTTAGTAGAGATAGAATTCTGAAAATTTGGCGTCTCATCAAATTTGGCACCCCTTCAACGAGACTACGTTTAGCGCAAAACTGGGAAATCTGGTATCATTGCCGATACCACTGTTCAATCCCGCATACCCAAAAACTGTCAGAGTCCGAATTGTGTGAACACGGCCTAAGCGGTTTTGAAGATATCTAAGCGTTGCTGTACTTTCTACTAACCCTGTATAAAGAATGACTAAATGATGAGCAGGATTTATTTTTGGAAGACGCAGATGTGCTAGTAGTTCTAGACAATCTGAACGGCTGGGTAAATAATTTTACCCAAAGCAATCTAAACGGCCAGAGCGCGGTCGGGTGACGCTCGACGTTCAATCTGAACGCGCCCCAAATCGACAATTTTAACACCTGCGCACTCTGTTAGCTACCACCTACGCAATTTTCGCAGAATAAAAAAGTTGGGCGTCTCGGTAAAATGAAGCTGCTTTAGAAAAATCACCTTGTTATTAATTATTTGGAAAAAAAAGACTCGGCTCCCGGACTATAAACATTATAGAAGCGTGCAGATTTTCGAAATTAATTATTTGGACTTCTGAATGTATACAAAGAAACTACATTCTTTCTAACATTTTTTTCTAACTATCCTTATCCTGGGTCATAGCCTAGGCATACCGCCATACTTTAATACAGAAATCTGTAATTAATTATCGACAGAGTCGCCGTCACATTGTAAAATTATTTAAACGTCAAGGAATTAGCAAAGAACTTTGAAGAAAGGAGCTTTCTTCTTAGGGTCTCTTTGAAAAATTGATTTATTGTTTATAAAATAGAAACTGCGAGATTGGTGAAGATGGCTGCGAAAGGTCAGCCTAGTAGTAGCACAGTTTGTAGTACACCAGCTTCAGAAGAAGAAGAACTCGAGGAACACTTCGTGTTGCGGCTCCCTTTGGTAAGTTTTATATGCCCAAAAATTTCCGTATTACAAATTTCATCCAAACGCACATGACTAAAAAAGAGTTTTATTATATAGATATACATAATAGAGTGAGGTTATCCATACAATCTCAGCTAGGAAACTATCGAATCGCGGTTAGGCCTAGGTACTTTTCAATCTTTTCATGACTGACTTTCCAAGAGCGCGGTAATGGAAAAAACTATGGATTTACTGCAAGATAACCCAGGAAGATTCTGGGAGTACTGTAATAGAACGCTGAAGTGTCGAAATTTTTGCCAATTTTCGTTTATAGCGTCTACATAGCTATTGTACCACTTCATAAATACCTATAAATGTTAGCTACTACTACCAGCAATATAGCAAAATTATTTTGTGTAATACCCCGCCGTCTGAGTGTGTCAAAAAAATTAAAAAAGTCGTGATTTTTGCCAATTTTCGATTGTAGCACCTTCATAGCTATTGGTGCCACTTTGAAAATAGCTATAAATATTTTCTACAACTACCAGCAATGAACCAAAATTATTTTATGTACGGCTCCTCCGCCTGAATGTCTCAAAAAAACTAAAAACTCCAAAAAAGTCGTGATTTTTTGCCAATGGGCCACTTCCACATTTTTCAAAAACATTGTTAAATTATTTGTGTTACCTAGTGGTTCTAATATCCTCTCTACACTTTTCTTTAATAATAAAACGATTTGAAAATCGAATTTTTGAACTGCTGCGAAAACGCTAGCCCGGAAAGTGACCTCACTTTCCGGAAAATGTCAGAATGCCGAATTTCTCATTAGTAAATTATTACACAACGCACTACCTAGAAACTATTCTCGTTCATTACTACGTTTTAAAAAAAATAAATAATAATAGGCATTATCGTTGAGCTCATTTAATTTGAAGTTCGTATTTTTGAATGTGGCAGCAAAATAATGAAAATCGACCTTAGCCAATGAGACGGCGTTTTCAGTCACGTGATTTTGTTTAAATTTGCTATTACTAGTTTATTTGGCTCAGTAGACCTGGCCCCCCCCAGTTGATAATTTTTATCCAAAACGCTAGCCCTCGTTCTCCAGAGCTAGCGCAACCTAGCGCAACTTTTTCGAAAGCTAGCGGAGCTACAGGTCAAAAGATATGTGGCTTTATATTCGGCGGGGGGGGCTAGGGTGACGCTAGCCCCCCCAGTTATTCGATCTTCTCAAAAATGCTGGCGCACATTCGTAACACCTAGCGCAAGTTGTGGCATAGCTAGCGCAGCTATCGTAGCTGTCATACAGGGTGGACAAAAAAAATCATGAGCCCCTACAAGTGATTTTTAATTTTTCAAAAATATATATGAAGTTTCCTTAAAGCTAGCGCAGGTAAAATTCGAGCAACCGCATTACCCCTTTAAAACATATACAGGTATTTATTCGGGGGGGGGGGGGGGGCTAGATCAACGCTAGCCCCCCCCCCCCCCCCCCCCCCCCCCCCAGTTGTTAAATCCTATTCAAAAGGCTAGCGCAAGTTCGTGACACCTAGCGCAAGTTGTGTCATAGCTAGCGCAGCTATCGTAGCTGTCATACAGGGTTGACAAAAAAATCATGAGCCCCTACAAGTGATTTTTAATTTCTCAAAAATATATATGAAGCTTCCTTAAAGCTAGCGCAGGTAAAATTCGAGCAACCGCATTACCCCTTTAAAACATACACACATACAGGTATTTATTCGGGAGGCGGCTAGAGTGCCGCTAGCCCCCCCCCCCAGTTGTTAAATCCTTTCCAAAATGCTAGCGGAAGTTCTTGACACTTAGCGTAAGTTGTGTCGTAGCTAGCGCAGCTATAGTAAGTAAATGTTATACAGGGTGAACTATGAAATCTTACAAAATGTCGCCAGCTCCAAGACAAGATTTAACGTTTACAAGCGCTATCTATTCGCGAAGTAGGTAACTAAAACTTAACCTCACAAAGAAATTAAAAAATTGAGGTAGGTATCTTTTTCAACGTTGATGCGCGTGCAACTAGTGGGTTGTACAGTGACTGTATTAACACAGTGGCGACAATAATTGCAGTCTTATTTACCATTGGTTTTTTTAAATCCTATAATATGTTCATATTAATGAACTGTGTTCACTTTGTGGCGTAAATCTTGCTAATTCTAAATATGAATATATACGATTTATGGACATCGATCATAACAAATTGAGAACAACGTATTTGATATACCTAATAATGGTCATCAAATACATTGTTTTCAATTTTGTATGATAAATGTCCATTTAAATCCTATATATTCGTATTTAAAATTAGCAAGAGGAAAGCCACAAAGTGGCGGCGGGACCTCTATTGTCGCCACTGTGTTAGGTTTATTATTGTCACTGTAGTGAGTTTAGGGATGGCAACGACATATCGATGTCGCAGGCTTATTGTGAAATCAGTCTTATTATAATACGCCTAGGCTTTTTTAATACGACTAGGCGTATTGCACTACTACCCAAATAATTAGGAATCACACAATTTGACTGATAATTTTAGGCTTATTATAATACGCCTGCCGCTCGCTAGTCTTATTGTTAAAATGAACCTGCAAGCGATTATTTTCCAATCTGACTAAATAAAATTCGTCGTATTATATATAATACGACTGACAGTGTGTCAGTCGAATAATAATAATAATTATTGTTGAAAAATTAAGAACTCTTGATATTGCAATTGAAGTTCCTAAAGTAAGTAGATAGAGGAGTGGACCACTGGCCCCCAAAAATATATTAGGAACTGTAGTGAGTAGTGAGTAGTAAGTATTATGAATGAGGTTTATGAAATTGGTACCATACACGGCTTGTTGAATCGATGGTTTTTAAGAGAAGAAATCACTGACTGCCAAAGTTTGTGTCATAACAATAAATGTTTATGTTTTAAAGCTCATATGAAATGTAGTAGCAAATGCCATGAAAGCGGATAATTCAAATCTATAAATTGTATTTTATATAGGTAATTTAAACTCTTTAAAATTTATGTTAAAGTACTGGGTGTTCACAGATACATGTTGCGCTGAAGGCTAGCTTTCCTATTAGTTATGCTACAGAGATGAAATTTAGAAAAAATACTTAAACCTTGGTAATTTTAATGTCTATTTAGCATAAAGAATAAGAAAGTTAGTGTTCAGCACAATATATCGGGTAAAAGGCGCATTGAAAGTTTTATCCAATACAATTCGCCTGGTGCGCCATTAGTCGTATTATAATACGACGGATTTCATCTAGACGGATTCTAACGCAGGTTCATTTTGATAATAAGACTAACACGCATCAGGCGTATTATAATGCGACTGAAATTACTAGTCTTATTGTGAAATTCTTAAGTATTTGGGTAGTATTACAAAATGCCTAGTCGTATTGAAAAAGCCTAGGCGTATTATAATAAGACTGATTTTACATTAAGCCTGCGACATCGATATTTAGTTCGTCGATATATCGATACTGAATATTGTCGACATTTTTTGTGGTGGTGGCGGTGGGGTTTATCAGGTTTGTGAAGCAAGAGGGCTACTTTTTTTTATCACCAATTAAGAATTACGTTGGTTGAATGCATTTAGTGATCCCAGGCGGTGGCATGTATGTGTTTCTCATGTTAGGTTCGAATTTCACTGCTTTCTGTTTTCTGATTTGTTCTGATTCCGGCCCGACTATAAAAAAGAAAGTATAACTTCGCGAATAGATAGCGCTTGTAAACGTTAAATCTTGTCTTGGAGCTGGCGACATTTTGTAAGATTTCATAGTTCACCCTGTATAACATTCACTTACTATAGCTGCGCTAGCTACGACACAACTTACGCTAAGTGTCAAGAACTTCCGCTAGCATTTTGAAAAGGATTTAACAACTGGGGGGGGGCTAGCGTTGATTTAGCCCCCCCCCCCCCCCGAATAAATACCTGTATATGTTTTAAAGGGGTAATGCGGTTGCTCGAATTTTACCTGCGCTAGCTTTAAGGAAGCTTCATATATATTTTTGAAAAATTAAAAATCACTTGTAGGGGCTCATGATTTTTTTTGTCCACCCTGTATGACAGCTACGATAGCTGCGCTAACTATGACACAACTTGCGCTAGGTGTTACGAATGTGCGCCAGCATTTTTGAGAAGATCGAATAACTGGGGGGGCTAGCGTCACCCTAGCCCCCCCCCCCCCCCCCGAATATAAAGCCACATATCTTTGGACCTGTAGCTGCGTTAGCTTTCGAAAAAGTTGCGCTAGGTTGCGCTAGCTCTGGAGAACGAGGGCTAGCGTTTTGGATAAAAATTATCAACTGGGGGGGGCCAGGTCTACTGAGCCAATTTATTTAAATAATCTGACTGAGATCTTGCAAAATATTGTTCATTCTGGGTTGCATCCATATAGGTATCTGCATCAAAAAATATCATAATTTGCCATATTCTTGGCACGTGAAAGTGGCCTACCGTGACAGGACCGCCAGAATTCCGGCCGGATCGGGCTCTATATGGAGGTATTTCAAATTCAAGCAGCTCATGTCCGGGAAGTTTGCGACACATTGGAAGCAGGATCTTTAGGATACACCTCTGCTCCTATATCACTGCTTTGTCCTGCTTCAAACCGCAACCGAGCAACTCCCACCGATTTCGAAATATATCGATTTCCATTTTGGTTGCTAACTTCACCCTTGGCAACACATTGGAAGCAGAATCGCTGAAACAGGTTCCTGCTTGTGCTGCTATGGTCCTGCATCATCCTGCTTCAAATGTGACCCCGGCAACACGTACTATTTCCGAGATAAAGCGATTTTTATTTTGTTTGCTAACTTCACCCTTGACAACACACTGGAAGCAGGATCGCTGAAACAGATTTCCGCTTGTGCTGCTATGGTCCTGCATCATCCTACTTCAAAATCTGACCCTGGCAACACATACTATTTTCGAGATACAGAGATTTTTATTTTGGTTGCTAACTTCACCCTTGGCAACACACTGGACGCAGGACCGCTCAAACATGCCCCTGCTTATGTTGCTATG